TCCGTACAGCGCCGACTTTTGTTTTGCTGGTTCTGGGATAAAGAACGCCAACGTCAATAATCTGGTGTCTGCTACTATCACAAGGTCAGTGGATGCAAAGGGGAGCTCAAACATGAAGCTGTGATGTAACAAACCTAAATGATGGTTTCATTCTCACAGTCTGCTTGTAATAAATGTGCAACAAATTCAGCTGCTAAAATGTACATGAAAGACCTCTAAATCTGTGCGCAGTCCAAATAACAAACAAGCCAGGCAGTTTCTCCTCCTTCCCTGTGTGCACCTTTCAAACTCCTCAGCGAGCTCTGTTACACTGTTTTGGCAGGAACTCTTTCTCTCTATGCCTGGATTTTTATTTTTTTGTTCTTAGTTAACATCTTGAGAGGCATTTAGTTCTGATGAGGTGGAATATTTTCTTTCTGCCTTAAATGAAAGCAGTGTTAGCCAAGGTCAGCTCTTCACGATGAGAAACCTGAGCTTCTCTTCTTTTCCTTGTGAGCCGAGCCTCTATGTTTGTCTGGACTAACAATGACGCTCTGTAGTTTCCTTGTGTAGCTGCTGCACTTTACAAACACATTCTGCACACAGGGGGAGCATTTATAGTACAATGTGTCTTAGCTCTGCTTTCAGCTGCGCAGTTACCTTGAAATGCGGAGATGTCAAGGGATTCAGTCTTAGAACAGCACGTTCCAAACAAGTTCCAATAAGGTGCAAGTTTCTTTCTTTCTTTCTTTTTAATCTATGAGAAGACAGACAAGGCTATTTGAGTCATATATAAACCTGAGGCATAACAATATTCCTCTCAGTGGCTTCAGCTGCTGTGTCCACATAATAAAGTTTGTTTTTGTGTTGGTACAGTGTGTCTTCCTTATAGCTCTCTGGACTAATATGCTGTGCTGTTTTGGGGTGGGTTTCCTGTTAGAGCACCGTATAGTTAGAGTTCGAAAAGTGCTTTGTTAGGGTTAGGTTAAGTTTCTTTGAATGTGAGGTTAGTTATTTCTGCCTCCAGAGTATATCTCAGCTGGTGTATCTATGTGTTGTAAAATGCTATAATGCTGTTAAAACACGCCAAACAGCATCCTAGCAATACAGCATGCTGTCTTCTGAATCATTATCGTAAAATGCATGAGGTTTTGTACCTTAATTTCCAACAACCTGTTTTATAATTTAAGTTATATATATATTGCGTTGGACCGTAACCCCAATGCATATTAATCCTCTTCAGTTTATATTTTAGCATTTACATTTCACGTTGCATTTACATATTTGCCCAAACAATTAGTCAGATTGCACAGATGCAATCACAAGTAACCTTCGTATGCACCTCCAGTTCTGTTCGAGTGCAAAGAGGCGCTGACAGCTGAAGAAAGGCCTTGATCATTGTAGCATTCCCCAGACAGTCAGACCTTCAGTCAGTCAGTCAGCTCGCTAGCTAACCCTCACTCAGCATTCATTATTAATCACAGAATTACACTGGGGCGCTCTGTGGGTTGAAGGGGGACAAGTCGTGATAGAATATGCAATTGTCTGCAAAATACACAGCGGGCGAGGTATCAGGCGCTGATATGAAGCACGAATATTGCATGAGATTTCTGCACTTATTACTGTCAAATGATGGTGGCGGCGTCAGGGGCAACGGCGAAGACTGTGAGCGCGATTCACAGAACCAAGAGCAGTGTAAATAAAATCTGATTGGCTGGGGATATTGTGTGTATAAAAATCAGCTTGAGGCTTGCAGTGATTTGCCCACGCAGAAAACTTTGTTGAACCTACTAGCTTACAAAAATGTGTTCTTGTCCACTCGTATTCCTCCGTGCTGCCCAGTGATGGACGTTGAAGCATTATGACCTCCGAAGCTTGAGCAATATGTTAGAATTGGCAATTTACCAACACCTCTTTAGCTACAGGAAGCTTTGACTGCCAAGTAAATAGTCACAGTCTCCCACTGATAACCTCTGGTCAGCTCCACAGAATTGTGTGGGAGGTAAGCACCATTAGCTAGGATGAGACAGGAGTGTCATTCATTCATTCATCACAAATGACTGTTGATCTTTTCATTCCCAAACCGGCTCGTTGTTCCGCTGGCCTGCCACTTACAAGAGCATTGCATCATTTTAAATAGAATCAAATGCGTATGAATCAAAAGGAAACTCTGAGCCGTGACTGTGTGTTGACATAATCTCGATTCAAGAGCGATGTAAGGCCTCCTCTAGAATCCGACGAGACACAGAAAGAGAGAGCGAGAGAGATAGCAACAAGGTGAGAACTAATGCGGCCGGGTTTAGCTTCGCCTTTGATGTTTGTACCAGCAATCCAAGGTGCTCAGAGCCTATCTGTCCTTGAAGTGAACACACCCAGGAATCCCTGGAGAGGAGGAAGACATTCTAATCATTGAAAAAACTAAAACCTAGGGAGGAAAGTTTACTCCCCCCCCCCCATCATAGTTAATGAAACATTGCGTGCCATCACTACTCATGATGCATATTTGGCCTGGAGTTAGAGCGGCATCTGGAAATACTTAACATGGCGAGCGCAGTAGTTTATGTAGCAGATGACCATGAGTTCATGCAGACTTTAGGTGGTTATATTTGCTAAATTGTCCAAAAAAGTCTTTAAAATTCAGGTGATGTGGGACAATTTCTTTCTTCTCTCACGCTTCATCTACTTCACAGACAAGTAACTCTTTTGAAATCTGTTTTTTTTTTTTAAATCAAAAATCTGTCAGAATCCCAGTTGTATCTGTGCCGAGCTACTATTTAATATTTTAGGTGAACTACTGATGAACTCAATTTAGGAACTGTGTTTATTGAGTGCAGTGTTTCTGGATATGAGGCAATTTTTAAGGAACCGTTACATCCTACTAAAACCATAGCTCTGAAATGAAAGTTGGCCTGCAAGGAAGTGTTTATACGCTTGTGTTTGATTTCATCATCAGTGACATCTTCAAGAGTCTAGTCAATCAAGCGGTTTTGCTGCCAGGCTTTTGTTTTCTCGGCCATCAAAGGAAGAAGAGCCTCTGGACAGGTTTACGTGAATGGCAGAATGATTCATCCCATGGTATGAAGCATCAAAACCAATTTGCACTGCAGTATTGGACACTGGCCTTTTTTCTTTCTTTCTGTCTGTGATGTCTATATTTCGGAGGCGTTACAGTGTGAATATTAAGGTCAGCTTGACATATTGGTTGGTTGAAAGTAGAGAGTGTGTTCCCTAATTATTAAGAATAACATATTCGTCAGAGTTCTGTCAGTCTCCTGTATTTATTTAGGAATAAATCAGCAGGCACAGTTTTTTTTTCTAGGGGTCTTTCTGGGAGAATATTAGCGTCTGGAAAAATATCAGCATGTTTTCTACCTACTGATACGAACAGAAAAAGAAAATGTCTGTCTAAAAAAAAAGAAGTAGAGCACAATTTCCTCAAAAAACCAATTATGAACTTTAAAAAATGAAAGTTATATTTGTCCATATTCGATGGAAACGCACAGAAAGGTCTAGTGGATCTAAAATGTAACCTTGTGGTACAGTACAAGTTAAAAGTGAGTTTAACTTGAAAGAAGCATGACAGCACCTCCAGGGATTGTGCTTTATATGTCTTTGAATAACAGCTCTATGACAGATTTAAGAAGTAGCCAGATTTCCTTGTCATTTTTTAAAGGGTCTTGAGCAGAAGTTCTCCAGGCTTTCTGAAGATTCTCAGAAGGTTTTTTGAGGGGGACACTGGCATTGGGGACCATTTTTAGGGGAATGTTTTTTCACCAACAAAGTGATTAGCCAAAAACGTGAAAACTATTAGTTAAAATGTGGCGTATTTTGGCATCATGGGCAGTATGTCCTTAAATTTGTGGAAACTGGATAACAACATGCATCTTTAGCTGATCCAGCTATTGTTTGCTGAAGCCTTGATCAGAAATGGTCTCAGTGGAAAGGTGGCTGTCATGAATCTGATCTGGACTGATCAACAGGTCTAATGGATTGATTCCAAATTGGTTACGAATAACTGTCAGTACATATGGAGCATGTGAGGAGAGAGGTGAGTGTCTACAGCCATCTCTGAACCACGGCTGAGGCCCTGTCATGGTTTGGGGCTATATTTCAGTCAGTGTCGTTAGGGATCTTATTAAAATTGATGTAATTATGAACGCAGAAAAGTACGGTCAGATTTTGATCCACCAGCATGGCAATGATTTCAAACACATAGTCACTGCAGTAAAAGCCTACATAGATAGAAAAACACAGAGTGGAGCACAGTCAGTCGTGGACTGGCCTCCCCAGAGTCCGGACCTCAATGTTACTAAAGCAGTGTAGGGTCATCCTGACAGAGAACACAACAAAATGAAGTCAATGTCCATAGAAGAGCTTTGAATGTCCTTCACAAGCGCTGGAGAACTATGAAGGGCTCTTAAAAGGAGTTTAAGAGTGACTTCCCATTTATGTATGCACATGTTTCAATAACTCATTGCACTAACTTCCCATTTACCTAGAACAAAATGTGGTTGTGCAGGAATTTGCATACTAATACATATCGACTATGCAGTGTCAGCATCTTTTTTATTTGTATTGATTTTTCTCAACATTTTGTGATCTGTTACTCAAATTTTATGGTTCATGGTTGTGTCAAAATAGATAGCAGCTGTTGGCCCACAGTACATTTTAGAGACATGATTTGGATAATTTAGTAAGCGTGTGCATCATTCCAAAACTTACAAAACATCCATCTTGGATTGCCTTAGTCCCCACAACAACGCAGCACATTTTTAAAAATTAATTTAAACAGTTTGATGACTAAAATCCCACGCTGCTCCAACAAATAACACACGTAACCTTATGTGGTGTTCTCATGTCCCTTTAGTTTACAGAGCAATTGAAACTCCTTTATGCAACATCTCCTGACATCTACATGTCACAATAAAGCTTCTCGACTGCGGCTAGCCCCGGCATGTAGTGCAAGGGCCCAATTAGTCCTACTTGCAGCTTTAATTTTTCATGTTGTGTTTAATCCACAGATCTTCCCTGGCAGACTGAACAAACGAGTTGACTCCAACAGAGCTACGCCTCTCTTCAGTCTACTTGTGGTCTGACGGCACTCACCAACATCAAAGGTAAGCCCCCCTTTCTCTCTACACCTCCTGCTTCCTTTAATCACTTTGTTCAGTTCATCATTGCTGTAATTGCATTTCCTGATTTTTTCCCCCTTGTCTTGCAAATCCGAGACTTTGCTTTCTCTGTTATCGCGCCTCGAAGGAGCTTCCTTTCAATTGGCTTTGTCGCTCAGGTGCCTTATGTGCTTTTTATGTCAATACATTGAGAGGCGTTTTCTCTCCAGTAACTGTGCTCTTATTTCAGCGATCCACACAGTTAAATCACTGGTGGTAAATGTCAGTAGAAAAGCAATGTTAGCTCTCTGCACAGACTGTAGTGTGTTTTAGAGGTGAACGGGAGATGACGTCGTTCTGGTCCAGTTTCTAAAAACAAACTGTGTAATTGAGTATTTGAGGTGTGAGTCAGTCATATATAAGTGCAAGACAAAAGCAATTCTCAAGTCTCAGTTAAGTTCCACATTGATGTGGTGGAAATAATTAAGTTCATTGCTTCTTCCGAAGCTTTTAGAAGAGCAAATATCAAATATCTTGATCATCAGAAAAGAATGCATTGTAATTATGAATGAATCAGTGCCTGCTGTGATTAAATTAAGACCTGGGCTTTAATCCAGTTTCTCTGATGCCTTGCTGTGGCTTATCTACCTGAGCTCGGGTCACCATATCAAAACCTGTAGACTATGTTACACAATCTTATTCAACAGACTCCCAGTTAATTTAGTTAGGGTGTTATCAGAGTCTAGCTGACTTACTAATGCCAGTATCTTGCTAACCACAAACACATAATGTTTAAGAGGATCTAGTCCCTCTGGATCAATCATAGCATAAAATCTACTTGCATCACAGTGACTGTGCTTAATAAACATTCATGAGGTCTTTGAGTGCACTGGCATTTTTATATAGCTTTATAACAACACAGCAAACAAAGTAATGGCAGCCTACTGGGCTTACAGTTCAAATGAATGTGGCATTTAAGTTATATTGCATATTGTATCTACATCATGGTAAAAAGAAAAGTACACCCTCTGTCAATTCCAAAGTTTTATATATCAGGGAATAATAAAAGATTCTCTAGAATTTACCAGGTCTTAAAATGATGTAACAACTTGAGGTGACATTGTTTATTTTATTATTTATTACGTCTTGTGTATTTATTTAACAATAATGCAGAAGCAGTGTTTGGAAAGCTGACTCTACAATACTTTGGGATAAAGAAGAGTTCATGGCAAAACAAGCCCAAATAGAGAATAGAATAGAATAATCCTTTAATTGTCCCACAAGGGGAAATTTGGTTGTAACAGCAGCCAAAAAGACACATATACAAACAAACAGGACACAGAACAGAAACATACACAATTTTTCTTACATATTTACATTAAGGACAATGGTTACCATATACAGAGAGTACTGTACAGTTATTAAATTAAATAAAAATAACTACAGATAAGAGGCAAACCAGGTTGTAGTGCGAATCAGTTAATTAACTTATTGCAGTTGCAGCGCAGATGTAAACATCTATGTTTGTTGGGAGCAGTTCTGATTGTACAGTCTGACAGCTGCAGGGGGGAAGGACCTGCGGAAACGCTACCACTACCATGCTTGACAGGTGATATGAGGGGTTTTTGCAGTGTTTTACCAAATGTAGCACTTTGCTTTATGACCAAACTTCTCTGGACAGATGAAGAGCCACTTAGCCAGGCTAAACAGTGCTACCATGCTCTTTTTTTTATCAGAAAGACAAGACTTTCTCCTAAAAACTCTTACAAACAAGCCACATTTATTCAGTCTCGTTCCAATTGTAATATTATGAACTTTAACATTTAACTGAAGCTAACTGTTAACTGTGAGGTATAGCTCTTAGATTTTTTTTAAGTATTGCATGCGCTGACCTTTGGATGAATTTGCTTGGACATCCACTCCTAGGAAGATATGTAGCTGTTTTGAATGTTTTTCACATGTGAATAATTTTTCTCACTGTACAGCCTTCTTTTTCTTTTGGCTGCTCACTTTTGGACACCACAGCGGCTCATCTGCCTGACTTTGATCCTGTCTCTAGCATCCTCCTCTGTCATAGAAAGCCTCTGCTCGCCCTCCTGCCATATATTCATGACTCTTTTCTTTCTCACTGTAGAATCGTGGAATCTTTTGGAAACAGCCTTATAACCTTTCCCTGTCAGCAGCAAACTCTAAGATCATTGCTGATGTCTTTCCTGCTTGGCATTGTGTTAACACACACCTGAATGCCCAAACCAGCAAACTGGTAAAACCTCTGCTTTTTCTGAGGCGCTCACACTTGCTACTTACTCTCTTAAATCCTATATAAGCAGTAATCGTCTGCTTAGTTTCTTAAGACTGCTGCTGCATTTTAGTATATGTCATGTTTTGTAGCTTGTCTCAGGTTTTATTTGCCATATTTTGTAAAGGGGTGTACTTTCTCTTCACCATGAGGTTACTTTGTATGTAATATGAAGTACTTGCATAAGATTTTCCACATTATACAGGACAGGTAAACACCAACTGAATTTCTTTTCTTCTAGCTGTGAAAATGTTTAGTTATGGAGCCCACACCTCGCTAAGCTTTGCTTATCCTGGTGTCACTCAACAATGCTCCTGTGGGCATTAGCACTCACTTTAATGTTCCTCAAAGAAATGCAACAGGAATACTAAATCAGAGGGAGGATCAGTCCCGGTGACCGTGCATTTCTTTCTTTTATTTCCTGTTGCATCTCTGTTGGAAGTGTTCAGAGCATCTTTGCATATCGGATATGTACTGGAAATGGCAATCATCTTTCAGTAACATGTATTAAATAGCAATTCACTTAAAAAAATGCTTTTTTTTTTTTACAAGTGTTTGATGAATCCTGTGTCATTTTTTCAAAGACAAAAAGAAACTATAAACTATCACTTCATCACTATAGTATCTGCAACGGCCTGCAAGTCCCACTTCAAGCTGACTTTCATGTTCTTGAGTAGCTCTTGAGCAGCTTATAAAGGTTTCCTGTGGCTGAACAAAAATATCCAACACAGCAGCTAAGTGTCTGTCATTATAATGAATCACTTAGCTGTCAGTCACACTCCATGAGAGCTTTGACGTATTGGACTTCTTAGCAAAGGGTAAAAAAAATCTCTTAAATGGCTGAAATTGCTGGCTCTGCGATGACACTTTAAGGTGGAGCAATACTACTAATATTTCCAATTTGTCTTCTGACTATATGAAACGTCAACAGCGGAAAGAGATTAAAGACT